ATTATTCCCCAATAATTATTATCTATACCCATTAAATTAAAAGATAAAAGACCTTAATATCAAAAGGAAATCAAATTTATTACATGTCAAGCTTCATAGTTTTATGTAGGCACTACCAGAATATAAAACAGTCGAATACTAATAATAATGACCTCGGAGTATGAGACTCACTTGAAACAAAGGCCATTCTTCCGGTGGTTGGTTATTTACACTTTTATAGTTTTATGTATGCTCTTACGATAATGCATGCATCCAAAATGAATATCATTTTATTTTGGTTATATATGCAAATTGATCGTATCTTTTTTTTTAAATCAGACATATTGCTCGTATCTATTTGAATCTGTTTTATAAAAATAATTATATAACATCATGTACTATATTTGCATTGAAATAAGAACAAATAATCAAGGGAAAATTGCTTCAAGGCCCCAAAAATGAAAATACAATGTGATCCAGCCCCCTGTATTATTTTTCATGTGTATTAGCCCCAAAAATGAGAACTCTGTGTGATTCAGCCCCAATTACAATTTCCAAGGGAATATATCCCCAAATTACCCCTCTCCTTCCCCAGATCTCTTCTTCTCTTCCAACAAACCCATCTCCTCTTCCACCCTCTCTCTCCAACCTCGCTGGGAACCTCCAACACCGCCATCACCTCCTCCACCTCCGCCTCCCCTCGACCTCTATGACTTCATTCTCAGTCGTAGACCCCGCCGCCACCATCGTGCCGCCTCTTCTTCTTCCGCTGGAATCGCTAGATCTGGAGGAATCTAGGGATAGGGTGGGGTCGCTGGAATCGCTGGGATTGGCCTAGTTTGGTGGTGGTAGGATCGGTGGTGGGTGGTCGGAGGTGGTGGAGGGGGGGATAAGGCCCCTTGTTGTTTTTTGAAAGCTGAAGTCTTTTGGGTTCAAATTTATCCTATCTGCATGTGTGCATCCTTTTGAGTTGCTTTCTATCCTTTTTTTCTCTCATTTTGTGTTGATTTTTGATGGATGTTTTTAGCAAGTTGTGAGCTATAAGTGAAAAAAAACATGTAGAAAAAAGAGATTAGAGCTGGTTTGCTCTCTTTGGTGATGTTTTTTTCGGTGGGTTATAACAATTTGTGAGCTTATAGTGTACAAATAAAAGAAGAGCAGAGATTAGGTCTGATCCCCCCCCCTTTGGTGATTTATTTTTGGTGGGGTTTAGCAATTTATGAGCTTTAGTGGGTAAACAAAGAAAATAGAGATTTTGGTTTCTTTCTTTGAGAGTTATGAGGAGATTGTATTTTGGTTTCTTTCTTTGAGAGTTATGAGGAGATTGTACGTGATACTGGGTTTAGCTATTTCATGGATCTGATGGTGAGCTCAGTTATGAGGAGTTATGAGGAGTTTGTGTTGCTTGCAAGATGACGAGGTCTCAGAAGGTGGAGGAGAAGAAGGCTAGGGTGGAGGAGAGCTTGATTGTGGAGAATGTAGGTTTGGTTTTATGTCATTGCTTTATGATTTGAACGGAAGTATTTAAGAATAAAGTGAATTTATGTTAGTTCAATTTTTATAGTGGTGTATCATGTTGATTGTTTCACCTAATATATGTAAACTATAGTCAACTATAGTTGACTGACTGTTAAGATTTACCTAATCCCTAAATATAATTGAGAATCATAGTGTACCAAAAGATGAGATTGGGATATTACCATCAAATCTGTTGATTGTTTCACAAACGATTTTGTTGCTTCTTTACAGTAAAATGGCCAACTACATCATGGCGAACAATTGGGAATAGAGTGAATGCTGTTATACAAAATTAAGACATTAAGAAAGAGCGGTCTTTAACATGTGAACATGGTTCAAATTCATATAGTTAATATTTTAACCATAATATTTATTATGTTAACTGTTGTAGTTAGCATGTTAACTCTTGTGTTTAACATGTTAACTGTTATGGCTAACATGTTAACTCTTGTGGATAACATGTTAACTCTTGTGGCTATATGTTAACTCTTGTGGATAACATGTTGACTCTTATAGATAATATATCAACTCTTGTGGATAACATGTTAACTCTTGTGGCTATATGTTAATTCTTGTGGATAACATGTTAATTCTTGTGGATAACATGTTAACTTTTGTGGCTAACATGTTCATTGTTGTGACTAACGGTTATTTTAACATGTTAACTATTGTGGTTAACATGTTAACTATAAGAGCTTAGATGATGTTAACTAATTATATGAGGATTGATCTTACGCAGAAATATATAGATACAATCCCATACTGCTTGTTTAAGCCAACGTTCTTCTGCAACTGCAACCATTGCCGTAATCTATTTAAGATGACATCTATTACTTTGTCATCGAGTCTTCCCCCGCGGAGCAAATACAGTAGTTTCGGGTATGTAATTGTGCTGTTATCACTAACGATGACATAGCAAGCAATAAGTTACGGAGGGTTAAAATCTAAAACATGAAAGCTAACATCTAAACACGCAAACATAATAAGCAACTAACAGAGGTTCACAGTTAACATTAAAAAGAGTTAACATTAAATTACTAAACATGTTAACTCTTGTAGATAATATGTTAAAATCATCGAGCTCAATCCATGACTAACATGTTAACTCTTGTAGATAACATGTTAACTCTTGTTGCTAACATGTTAATTCTTGTGGATAATATGTTAACTCTTGTGGCTAATTTGTTAACTCTTATCGCTAACATGTTAACTATTGTGGATAACATGTTAACTATTGTGGATAACATGTTAACTCTTGTATTTAACATGTTAACTGTTATGGCTAACATGTTAACTCTTGTGGATAACATGTTAACTCTTGTGGATAACATGTTGACTTTTGTGGATAACATGTCAACTCTTGTGGATAACATGTTAACTCTTGTGGCTATATGTTAACTCTTGTGGATAACATGTTGACTCTTGTAGATAATATATCAACTCTTGTGGATAACATGTTAACTATTGTGGCTATATGTTAATTCTTGTGGATAACATGTTAATTCTTGTGGATAACATGTTAACTTTTGTGACTAACATGTTCATTGTTGTGACTAACGGTTATTTTAACATGTTAACTATTGTGGTTAACATGTTAACTATAAGAGCTTAGATGTTAACTAATTATATGAGGATTGATCTTACGCAGAAATATATAGATACAATCCCATACTGCTTGTTTAAGCCAACGTTCTTCTGCAACTGCAACCATTGCCGTAATCTATTTAAGATGACCTCTATTACTTTGTCATCGAGTCTTCCCCCGCGGAGCAAATATAGTAGTTTCGGGTATGTAATGTGCTGTTATCACTAACGATGACATAGCAAGCAATAAGTTACGGAGGGTTAAAATCTAAAACATGAAAGCTAACATCTAAACACGCAAACATAATAAGCAACTAACAGAGGTTCACAGTTAACATTAAAAAGAGTTAACATTAAAATACTAAACATGTTAACTCTTGTAGATAATATGTTAAAATCATCGAGCTCAATCCATGACTAACATGTTAACTCTTGTAGATAACATGTTAACTCTTGTTGCTAACATGTTAATTCTTGTGGATAATATGTTAACTCTTGTGGCTAATTTGTTAACTCTTATCGCTAACATGTTAACTATTGTGGATAACATGTTAACTCTTGTAGATAACATGTTAACTCTTGTTGCTAACATGTTAACTCTTATGGCAAACATGTTAACTCTTGTGGATAACATGTTAACTCTTGTGGCTATATGTTAACTCTTGTGGATAACATGTTAACTTTTATGGATAATATATCAACTCTTGTGGATAACATGTTAACTCTTGTGGCTATATGTTAATTCTTGTGGATAACATGTTAATTCTTGTGGATAACATGTTAACTTTTGTGGCTAACATGTTCATTGTTGTGACTAACGGCTATTTTAACATGTTAACTATTGTGGTTAACATGTTAACTATAAGAGCTTGGATGTTAACTAATTATATGAGGATTGATCTTACGCAGAAATATATAGATACAATCCCATACTGCTTGTTTAAGCCAACGTTCTTCTGCAACTGCAACCATTGCCGTAATCTATCTAAGATGACCTCTATTACTTTGTCATCGAGTCTCCCCCCGCGGAGCAAATACAGTAGTTTCGGGTATGTAATTGTGTTGTTATCACTAACGATGACATAGCAAGCAATAAGTTACGGAGGGTTAAAATCTAAAACATGAAAGCTAACATCTAAACACGCAAACATAATAAGCAACTAACAGAGGTTCACAGTTAACATTAAAGAGAGTTAATATTAAATTACTAAATATGTTAACTCTTGTAGATAATATGTTAAAATCATCGAGCTCAATCCATGACTAACATGTTAACTCTTGTAATGTTAACTCTTGTAGATAATATGTTAAAATCATCGAGCTCAATCCATGACTAACATGTTAACTCTTGTAGATAACATGTTAACTCTTGTTGCTAACATGTTAATTCTTGTGGATAATATGTTAACTCTTGTGGTTAATTTGTTAACTCTTATCGCTAACATGTTAACTCTTGTAGATAACATGTTAACTCTTGTTGTTAACATGTTAACTCTTGTGGCAAACATGTTAACTCTTGTGGATAACATGTTAACTCTTGTGGATAACATGTTAACTCTTGTGAAGAAGAAGAATTAGCACATATTCACACTTATGTTAAGTGGTCCAGGTGGTTTTAACAACAATCACACCTATGTTAAGTGATCCAAGTGGTTTTAACAACAGCTGAACTGTGTTTTGCGCTGTTACTTGGTTTTTCTCGTTTAGAAAAACTTTCGTTTTGGGTCATTGGTGTTTTCCGCCCCTATTTCCAGTTGACTTCTGACTATTCAAACTTCCCCCAGTTCTCGGGATATCCTAAAAATTACAGTCATGTCATCGCCAGCCAACGAGAGAGATCATCCGCCATCAAAAACTTAGATTTTGAAAGCTCTTTTAGCCTCCTCTTCTCCCATTCTCTCTACTCAACCTCACGTTCTTCTCAATTCTCTGATGTCTCCTCATCTCTACATCTCTCTTGTTCTCTTCAGCTTTTTCTTCTTTAATCATATTTCCTCTGCTTCAGACTCCATCACCGTCAAAGACTCTCTCTCTGGAGATACCAAGCTGATCTCTAATGGAGGAAAATTTGAGCTGGGTTTCTTCAGACCAGGTAAATCCCCTTACTACTACATAGGGATCTGGTACAGCCTCGACAGGGTCTCTCAGCTCACCCCAGTTTGGGTTGCGAACAGAGCAACCCCAATCTCTGATCACACCCAAATAGAGCTCAAAATCTCCACCAATGGCAATCTAGTCCTCTCAAACCATTCAAACCCCTTGATTTGGTCCACAAACATCACCACGACCTCTAAATCCACCATTGCTGTGCTTCTTGATAGTGGAAATCTTGTTTTGAGGGATGGGTCAAATCCCAATTTAACTTTGTGGCAGAGTATTGATCACCCAACTCACACGTGGCTCCCTGGAGGCAAACTGGGGCTAAATAAAGTCACTGGGGAGCTTCAGCGTTTGATTTCTTGGAAAACCCAAGATGATCCTTCTCCTGGGATCTTCTCTCTTGAGATTGACCCAAAGGGGTCCAGCCCAAGGATTTGACAACGGGGAGAGAGTGGAGGGGAGGGGCTGACGTGGCGATGGAGGCGACGGAGATCTGCTCTATCTCGGGGGGGATGGGACGACGGGGGAGAGAACAGAGCCCTCAAAACTCAATAGGGGGTAGACAGAGGAGGAGAAGAAGAAGAGGAAGAAGGGTAGCGATGGTGACGGCGGGGGCTACGACTGAGGATGGAGTCGACGAGGTCGAGGGGAGGCGGAGGTGGCGGCGGTGTTGGAGGTATCCAGCGAGGTTGGAGAGAGGGTGGAAGAGGAGATGAGAGGAGAAGGAGAAGATCTGAAGAAGAAGAAGAAGAGGGTAGTTTGGGTTTTTTTGGGAATTAATTCTCTTGGAAATTGTAAAAAGGGCAGAATCACATTAACTTTTTCTTTTTGGGGCTAATACACATGAAAAATAATACAGGGGGCTGGGCCACATTGTATTTTCATTTTTGGGGCCTTGAAGCAATTTTTCCAATAATCAAACCTCCTCTTAAAGTATTGCTGAACTTTCGGCTTCCATGTAGCCTTTTTTTTTTTTTGTATTTTTTCTATCTTCAATAATTCAAAAAAATAATCTTTCAATTCCCAAAAAAGGGGAAAATGGTAAAAAGCTTTGGGGAAAGTAGATAGGAAGTTTTTCGGTTTGGAAAAAAAAATAAAAAAGACTAAAAAAACCCATGAGAATGGACAAAAAGCATGGTCAATTCATTAATCTATTAAATAATGCACCGCAAAATCACTAAATAATCATTAGAAACATAAACATAGTTTTAGAGGGAAAATAGGAAAAGTTATATTTTAATGACGACGGTTGGGAGTTCACTAATACTTTAAAGAAGAGTTAGTCATTCTGCCATTGTAATAATGGTCATATCCAATATACTATATTTTAAAAATACTATTAAATACTGATTTTGCATTTACAAACATAAATAGGTATGTCAAGAAATTAAAGAATCTAGTATAAAACTACATTT